CCCACTTTTACTGCTACAGTTGCTTTTCTGTGCTCTATACTCTCTTGCCTTTTTTCAAAATTTCATTATATAAAGACAAGATAATTCAGCTTCCTAACCTTTTCTGTGGACAGAAATCATTCAAAACATCCTTGAAGAATGCTGAAGTACTGCAGCATCTGTCCTTCAGTGTCCCTCTAGATGGAGGGTGTGTATGACTCATTCAGGTGCTCTTGATGTTTGACCTAGAGGCATAAGAAATATATTTTGGAAAAGGTATGGAGAAGATTTTGTCATATTGTGAGACAATATTACATAAAACCAGCAATATCAGTGAGCTCATGATTAAGCACTGTGAAAAATAATTTTCTCTTGAGAATGAAACAGAAAACCAAATAGTCAGTGAAATGATCTCAGGAGAAAGATTATCTTTTTCTCATTTCCAGTAAATTAAAAATCTTTTGATTGGAAAAATAGATTTTTTACAAACAAAAGAGCTCAAATATTAATGAAATAAAAAGAGTGAAATACTGAATACACACAAAAATGCAAGAAAGGGCAGTAATTTGCTTCACATAATTGTCTAACATCATAAAACCACAGGAACAAAATTGAGCAGCTTGAAAATGTCAGCAGAATGCTGAGATTCAATCTGTGCCCTCTGGCTGTCTTTCTCATTGCTCTAATTACACATTAGGTATACGGTTTTTAAAGTAGAGTAGGAAGAGTTTACTCCTACTAAGGGATCACTGCTCTTGAGATCTAGGTGCTCACAAGAAACTTATATGCAACAAGATTATTTTATCAAAAAATCAGTTTTATGGATCATCAGAAGTGTTTTCCAAGAGCAAAATCCGATGACCAGTTCTAGTGTTTCTGCAGACTGTAAAAAAAATGTATTTCTTATTTGTTTGGACTCCCGAAGTTCGTAGTTCAGTGGTAGTATCAGATGCCCATTAACAAAAGACCTAAACTTTCTGAATGAAGGAAGAAGGCAAGTGACAACACACGTTTCTTCTTTTCCTACAGGTATCAACTAAAGCACAGCTAACTTTGTTCCTTTGCCATTTGCAGCTGAAACGTTCTCGGGAGACAGAAAGTCAGCTGAAGCCTTTGGTAGAAAAAAATAAGAGGATGAGCAAAAAAAATGATGATATGTTGCAATGTATCCAGAGAATGGAAGAGAAAATAAAAAATCTCTCAAGAGAAAATGTGGAATTGGTAAGTAGTCATCTCTGACATCGTAAGAACACATTGCACAGAATTCATTTTGAGGTGGAAGTGCTTGTGAGGCTTTTCCACTAACACAGATATTTCAAAGTCTTAAATTCAGCCAGTGCAACTGAATGTTCATACTCTAAATTCAGAGTGGCATGCGCTTTCTGTCGTATCAATTCACACTGATTAAGTGGAGGGATCCCAGATAGATAAAATGTGTTTGGAGGCTATAAAAATGTATGACTAAAAATCAGTTTTAAGAAATGCTGCTTTCACGATTAGAAGTCAGAACTGAATTTGAGTGCATGTGCCAAAGGCTCTATATGTTAGATCATTGAGTTCACTTGTCTGCTGATTTTGTCCCATACTATGGTCTTGATTCTGTTTTAAAATATTTTATGTGAGATACTATCACTGAGGCAGGCAGGATGTGTAATGGTTTTTTTTGTTGAAAGATGCCTTGTGTTGTAGTGGAGTATACATAGATGAATCCAAAGAATTCTTGATTACTGTATCAGGCATGAGAATTTTCCTTCTGTTTCAGCAAGACACTTTAAAGTGTTTTTTATGTTTAATATTTTTTCAACTTATTTTTAATTTTTGTAGAAAGAAAAGTTATCTGCACAACCAGCCCTGAAGAGGCACACATCTTTGAATGATCTCAGCAGCACACGGGAAGAACAAGAAATTGAATTCCTCAGACTGCAAGTCAAAGAACAGCAGCATGTTATTGATGATCTCACAGTGGTAATGCTTATGACTGGTATACACACGTGCATGCACACACATCTATAGGCAAGCTAAAGATTTGAGAGCAATGTTTTAACTCCAGTTGTTGTAGTGATGCTGAAATAGTTCTTTGGTATCGAAGGGTTCTTGTTGTTTCTCAGGTAGTGAATGTATTTCCTTGGAATGTGTATGAATCTCTGTATTATAAAATATTACATATTATGAGCTGCTTGTGAAAAGTGCATCAGTCCATCCACCTTACTTACAAAATTGGCTGTCAACAACTGAGGAACTAGGAGGAAAGGTCATGTTTCAAAACTTAATGCCTGAAATGTGTTGGGTGTATACCCTGGTGCTAACCCAACCACTCCCCTGATCTAGAAATTTTCCTAAAAGAAAGGAGCACACAGGATGGAATTGATTTCACCTAACTAAGCATCTCAAAGTGAGCTGGCCACACTAGCTGTCTTCATAACAGATGGAGAGAAATATGCATGATTCATCCAAACAAAGGTAGCAGCATAGTTTAAGATTAGAATTGCACATCTGCTACCCTCTGACTGTGAAGGCCACTTAAAATGGCGCTCATAGATGTTTGCACTGTTTTATCAGGACTCTTTTGAGTTGTATTAGAGTTGATTAGGGCTGTTTAGTGTGACGTATGACACACTCTTCTGGTGCTGGCAGAAATGACATATCATCTCTGAGAGACCTCTGCCCTTCTGTAGCAGCATCTGGAACTCAGGCAGGCTATTCCAGAGCATCTCAAATGGCACTACTGACTGCTGCAAGATGATAGAATGAATTTCAGATCATTCTGTCTAAATAAAAAATTAAACAATTGGATACAACATCGAAAATAAAAATAGAAGTTACAAAAAGATAAACCAAGATGCGTTATTGCTCTGTCTGAAACATTGCCTCTATTCTTGGCAGTTCCGCTGATATTTTGACCCAGGTTTTCTCTCTGTAATCAGTGCCAAAGAGGACTGATGTCTGCGTGCATTCTCCAGTGTCAGAGTGTTACAAGCAGTAAGATGTTACTCAGACACTGTGATGTAGGGTCTGATTCACAGAGCAGTGGTGCTTTACCTTCCAAATGCAACTGTACAGGCAGGGACTACGACATGATGTTAAATTCTCAGTGTATGGCAGAGATAACCTCACTCGTATTTCAGTGCAAAGTGGGTATGAAGGGACTCTCTTCTTCCTGTCTCAGACAGTAATCTGAGGAAATATGTTGTATCCTGACTTTGGTCAACTAGTATTTACTTGTGTTTAGTGTGAAAGTAAAATAAATAAATATTTTAAAATATGGTTTCATTTTTGCTTTGTTTCCTATTTACAGATACTTTTTCACTGTCAGAAATATGACAAATTGTTGATTAGGATATTGCTTCGGTTGACAGTACAAACTAATTGATGCTTTGCCTTCGATATGAATGCAGTGGAACTGTACACTTCCATTGTGCTTTTCAGCTATCTTTCTGGCTCAAACCACACCTCTACAGAATACAAATGTATCATAGTTATCAAGAATGACCCACATGTCACATACCTGATTAATACAAAAGTCATCAGCTTACCTCCAGCTGAGACCAGTATGATACACAGAAACAACCCTTAGGCAGCAGGGTTGTCCGAATTGATTAGTATTGTCATTTGTAGGGTATTTTTGATGCTGACAAAGCCATATAAACTTGACTTCTCCCACAACAGTGGTTTTCTGGTGAGTTCTTAAAAGGAAAGTTGTTCAGGATAAACTCAGATGATTGCAAAAGATGCTAGTGATTCAGCAAATGGTGTTTTTTAATTGGCATTATTATTGTTCTGGTAGCTTGATGTGTTATTAAGACAGTAAATTAAGCAGTTTTCTTGCAAACAAGATTAGAAACAGGAAGGAGTGGGGGATTTTCAAAGTATTTGTTCATTCTGCACTGAAGTGAGAGGAAAGGAAAAGACAGAGTGAGAAGGCTAGACAGTTTCATCAACTGTTTGGAAACCTGCTTGGGATGCAGTAGGCCCAGGTTAAAGCAGGGACTGTGCCTTAACCAGATGCCTGAGGAAGGAGCATTCTTCAACACTGTCTAAAATTCAACTTTGTGTTTTCAGCTTGAGCTTAATCTATTCATTATTCTGCAGCTTGAAATACCTGCTCCATTCTGCTTTGGCAGTCATTGCTTTTCCTTATTCTGAAAACCTAATGTATTAAAGGTGTTGTATAATTTATTGTGCTTTTCTGAATTATTTTGTATTTTCCAAAACTTTGTTCCTGGAACAATGTGCTGATAGAATTTAATATTTTTATTGTGATTTCCACTGTGAACTTCCCATTTGTCCAGTTTCTGAACTGAATATAAAGCAAGTAACTCTGCATAGAATAATACCATGCAGTGAGCAATAACTGCTAGAGAAGCACTTGGAACCTCTGTAATTCTTTTAAAAACAGAGGTGTTGCAAAAATAGCAAAAAGAGAAGGAGACAGGTCACCTGCTTCCTGTGTTGTTTTTTTGCTTGTTCTTTCTTTTGCATTTTTTACCCTCTTTCTCCTCTTCTCCTTCGGAATTCAAGGCAGTATTCTTGGACTTGAATGTTCATAAACCCTGCATTATTCCAGTTATAAACGCCTTGTATTATGACATAAGTAATTATGATCTTGTTCCAAGGTCATGGTAGAAAAAAGACAGTCACGAAGTTGACACAGACTAAGTGGGAGTGCCTTTGGATTTGAGGCTTTTGCCCTACAAGGATAAGTCATGTGTAATACCGTATCTGCGTATGCATGGTTATATATCACAGTATGTCTGCTATAATGACTTGTAATTACAAAGGCTGGACCCTTTTTGGGCTACTGACCTGCTTCTTCAGGATGGTTGAACATGGGAGTGAGAACATGAATTCTGTTTCCATAGTGAGCTTCTTGGTAAAAGAGTCAAAAGAACTGTCAGAAATCTGTGCCCAGTATTTAACAAAGCCTTTTCTTGCCAATATCCCATCAAGTGTGTAAAGTACATGGCTGAAGATTTGTTTGCTAAAGGGATAAAACTGCAGTACAGCGTGATGTTTTACCAACGTGGTGTTATTCAAAAGGATAATGACATTGTCTTTGAGTTAGCTTTCCCATAGGCTTTAAGAAAATTTGAATGATATTTCTTTGTGCTAGACATATCTAAATACATGTTTTAAAAGAAGCACATACCAAAATGTTCTCTTTCCTTCTAGGAAAGGGAACGGTTATTACGGTCTAAAAAACAGAAGAGGAAAAGTCTGAAGCCTCCAAAGGTGAGCAAACTTTTGGTTTTCCATGCATTTTGGTTCTTGTGAACGTTGCTTGTTCCAAATGCTGCCTGAAATTAGAGTTCTACTTAAACTAATGGTAAAATTTCATATTTCCCCTACTTTTTTTCTAGTGAATGCTTATTAGCTTTTTCTTAGGATAATTCAGGAGGTGCAAGTTTTATACTGCACACAAGTGGTATTGTTTTGGTTTTTGTTTCAAATAAACAATATAATTACACTTTTCGCCATTGTGGCCTAAATATTCAAGTGGCTTGAGGTCTAAATGGTACAATGACTTGAAACAGCTGCCATTTCAAAGGACAAATGCTCAGTCCTTTTTAAAGAAAATACACTCTTTAAACTACTTATAATAATTACTGCTTATCGCAACTGAAAACTTTAACTCATGCTAGGGATGTTATTGAGGTGATATTTCTGTATGTAATATGTAAATAGTAAAAAGATCGCAACTATTTTTCCTCTAGTAACTATTTTTCTCTAAAATACAAAGTATAAGAGAAAAATTTAATTGTAGAAACAGAAAAGTTTTGCTTCAGAGTGTACCTTTAGTGTACATGCTTAAAGTAGTCAATTTTGCTGAATAATGTTTTTCATGAAGTTGAACTTTAGCAGCCTGGAGTGTGTGAGGGATGGGGTAAGAGGAGAAAAATGGAAGTGAAGAGTGGAGAGATTATTATCATCTATACGGTAGCTTAAGATACTTTCTGCCACAAATGGGTGCTTGTTATCACTGTGTTCTGTATAGTATATCCTTGGTGACCTCCAGGTGGTGCTTTTTTATTGCTCTGCGTTCTGTAATACCTGTATTCTGATAGATTTATTATTTGGGATTCTCTGTTTCAGCACTAATTTCTTCAAATTATGCTTCAAATAATGATGTGTGTTTTACATATGAAAAAAAGAAAAATTCAGAACTTACAATAAAACTTTAATGCATTATTCTGTTATGTAATGGAAGGCTCACAGATGCTAAATATATTTAGAGTAACCCTGAACCATTCTTTCTTTGTGTCGTATACCTGAAAATTTTTGTGTTGAGAACAAGTTTAAAAGCAGGACATAAAATTAACTATATATATGTAAACTAATACTATAATTTTATAGTCCTCTCTAATTATTAGTCCTTACTGGATTTTAAATTAATTACGTAAGATCTTTTGCTAAATTGTAAAGTTCCTAATGAAGCAAAACTAGTTAATTTCATTTTTTAGGAGTTGGTAACAAATGATGCTAATTTCTGTAGGCTGAAAACTTCCATAATTATTCATTTATGTCTTTAAAATGTTCTGTGTTAATAGAACTTCAGATGACCTAGACTCTGTAGCCTTTCCTTTTACCTATTTTCTCTTGGGCAATCTGCTGGTTTTGTGGTGTCATCTTCTTCTTTTCGTTATTTACCAAAGCAAGAGTTAAAAAACATGAGGGTTGGACAAAATGTGAGTGATACCACTAAAAAATTTGTGGCAGTGCTATTCTTCGTGTGGTACAAGTACTATAACTGGGGGACTTCTGCAGAGATTAATGCAAGAATTTTGTGCATATATGCAGCAGAGTTAGTAAGGGTTTGCTTCTTATTTATGATACAATAGATAAACCAGAAAGGACAAATTAATCAGTAGCAGACGTAACTCCCACTAGTTATTCTATCCCCTGACTGTTAGCTCTTTGGTGTCAATATAAAATTGGGGATTTGCAATTTTATTTTAAGCTATCTCCTCGAAGGAAAAGCAGGACTATAAAACAAAAACAAGTGAAAAAGAGAAAGTTGTGAGATGAGTGAATGGGATTATATATGTTATACTAGTTATACTATGTATACTATACTAGTTATTATATAACTATATATATGGTTTCTAAATGAGTGGTCCCGTGAGGATCAAAATCCTCAAAGGAAGTGGTGTTTCCCACAGTTTTCCAGCAGGTTTTTATTTAAACAGTCTATGTAGAATGGGCTGCTCGCCCAGATGAGCTGTTGGGATTATCCCATCTTCATCCTCTCTATTTTTACAGCCTGTTTCAGGAATCCAGATGAAAATGGTAGAGTTAACAGAGGTGAGATATAGACGTCTCAATCTGGACAAAGTGTTAACATTAAGTGGTGTTTTTTCTCCTCTGGAAGTAGAAACCCAAATAGGCCATATAAGTTTTGTCCTAATATTGCCTATTTCTGCCCATGGACTTTAAAGGCAGTCTAAGATTAGTTTCTTTATATATAGACGTGTACAGTGCAAGCGTATTTCTGTCTATGATCTATGCAAGACTTTTATATCGTATAGATAATAACATACATATAATAATAGAAGAAATTACGGGTATATCTGTCCTAACCAACCACTCAGAAGGAGAAATAACTGATATAAATCTTTGGCTTTGCTTTTCTAAGGTTTCTTAAATGTAAAACTAGCATTAACACAGTTAATGCTGAAGTTTGGCTGTTGGAGTTGGATTTGTTTCCATCTGTGTCCCACTTCCCTTGACAAAGTGAAAAGGAAATAGCTGATGAGAGTTAGGTTTCTGAATGTGGTCAGATAAGCTCAGACTGGAAAATATAGAGGGTTCCTTTTTTGTTCTGATAAACAACCTGATGCACAGGGTGAAGACTCACACTCATCTACTGTCACATCTTCTCCTAAATGTGTACTTTTACACCCCAGATCCTTTAATTTTTGAGGTATGCAGACTGGACAGTGTCTGTGTTTGTTTTCTAACATGAGTATTCTGCTGTCAGGGATTCCTGTTATCTGGAACAGAATCCATGGCATTCCTTTCTCCATCTTTAAGACAGCTTGTGTGAATGATCTGTCAGGCTAATCCAGTAGTCTTTATAGCCTGACTGAGTCTAAATTGTGTCAGTTTAGCTGAGAAGCTTTTGAAAATACCAAGGCTTTTTTTTTTTTTTTTTTTTTTTTTTTTTCTTCACAGTTAGAGCTCTCTGTTATTTCTGGAGCTCTGTAGGTGCACTGGGTTACTGTTGCTAGTGTAGCTTTGACTGAGCACTCATGTAATTACCAAGGGGCATAGGAGACTGTAGAACAGCGCTGGCAAGCAACTTGGGTTCCCTGAGGGAAGGAGCAGCATAGTGGGATGGGGCTTTATAACCTCTGTGGCTGCAAGGTGTTTTAGAGAAGTATTATAATGACTCTGTATAGTCAGGTACTGTAGGACAGTTTTTTCTGAAGTGATGCAGCTTAAGTGGATAGAGGTTTATTTATTTTATTTTTTTATGTTAACATGCCATTGGACTTGTTAGGAAAATTGTACCAGAGGTGAATCTTTTTTTGCTATTTAAAGCATACTTTTTTCCATTCTTATTTTTTTTAATCACCCAGTTTATTTTTTTTAATCACCCAGTTTTGCTACTGAAATAACCAAGAAACTCTGGAAAGAGTATTTTTGGGGTTTTGTTTATTTTTGAGACATAGAACAGTGATACCATGACTGATGGAGTCATACATTTGAAAATAAGACATAATTGCCTGTTTTGTTTGGAAACTGCATGACTCTGTGTATTTGCTTCTTTATTTGAACTTTAATAAATAAACTATTTGTGACAGTGGGAAGCCTGCACACTGGTGTGATGGAGTTCGTATTTCTTGTTTTATATTTTTCTTTTTTTATCTGCCTCTGTGCTTTGGTGTGCCTGTATTTTTCTGGCTGCCAAGAAATGACTTATAAGCATGAAGGTAAGAAGTTACTGATTAGCTCATCTGATTGCATTACAAGGAGATTCATCATGGATAATTTTCATCATGTTAGATTAAGTACTTGAAAATTAGATATTTAAATATGAAACTAGCAACAGAGAAATCAGATCATTTATATGTAAGTATATCTAATCTAAACCATTAAAAATATGTATGTTGAAATTTGCATATAATATAGTCTGTGTATCACTGTTGATTTATAACATTATAAAATTCAATGTTTACTGAGAACCATACTTTAGTAGAAGCATTAATACTTGAGTTATAAAGACTTTAAAATTATGTCAAAACTTTGATATAAATCCACATGAAAAACACTTGCTATTAAATGCATGGCAGTGGTCAGTGGAAATAAGAATTCAAATCAGAATTTTTTCAGCAATTTGCACGACTACTTTCTCAGTTATGAAGTTATGATTTAGAAGGAAAAAATGTACAGATCAATATAAAAGAATGTTTAAGTTGTTAATTGAGAATGTTCCCATTTTTAAGAAAAGTTTGAATAGAACTTGAATGAAAATATTGTGTAGTTAAAAAATCCAGTGTGTATTGTACGTGCTTCTATACAATTTTTAAAACCATTATGATTCAGCTTTTGAGCTATACATGGAATCTCCCTTGGAGTTGGTGTATTTACTTATGCCTTATTTTTATTACAGTGTTTATCTACAAACTTTGTATGAATCAGATGTCTATTTTTTCATTTTGTTTTTGTCTCTACAGCTGTTCCCTTAGCAGTTAATTTGTTCTGGTTTTGCTGTGAATCACTTCTTGTAGCTACTTGCTTCAGATAGTAGGTGATCAACAATAAACCCAGCTATTTTGTAATCATGTCATGAAACAATTCATACATGTGCAATTGACATATAATGGTTAAATACCTTATCTCTGTTTCTATGGAAAGTATCTACTCCAAAAAATGATAAATGTACAGCTTCTCTAAAGAGGAAGGAGTCATTAAAAATAAGTGGTTCACTCATAACTCCAAATATACAGCAAATGCAGAGCATTTATATGGTTTTTGACTTTTTACTCTCCTCAAAGTGTTGGGGTTTTTTAGTGTGACAGGAAATACCAATTTTCTTGTATAATTCCCTACCATCTAATAATCAAGTTATTTATTTATTAATATACACAAATTATTTTCCCCTACTTTTGCTACTACTGAAATATTTAGATGCAGCTGGTATCTTTTGTTAAGATAATGGCATTGCTTTAAGTATCTTCTCAAACCTGTATACATTTATGTGAAATCAAATCCACTGTAGTTTTGCTGGTTTTTTTTTTTACTCACTTGAAACAGTGTACATGGATGTGTGCATGCAGGGTTTAAAGGAAGATACGTACTTGACCTGAGTTATCTGCAGAAGTGACCGTATAGTGGAGGTATAGCAAAACCCCTGTAGGTATGATAAGTCTTATTGTCAGTTTTAAGTAAGCTGCTGCTGACCTTCATGGTACTGTGTTTTCTGTGCCATATCTATGATAATAAATTGGAGTTTTGTTCACCATCTTTTGGAAGTCCCTTCTAACAGCCTTTTCAAAGTCGAGACTCTTATTTACTCTGTCAGGCCTCAAGCCTATACCTTATTGCAGGTTTTGATTGAGCTTTGGTCAAGTGTATTTGTCATTTTTGAAGCCAAGCACCCTTGAAGCAGGGTCAGCTGTACATCAGTCTTCTGAGTTGCTTGTCCTTGACTAGGTTCCTCCAAAGCACAGGCTAGTTGTTCTGAGCCCCATCCACAGACAAGCTGGTAGGGCCAGAAGAGCAGAATATAAAAGTATTGGCATAGGAGTCTTCATGCAGCTCTGTTTTGGGTTTACTCTCAGCATCTTTGAGTAAAAAGTATCCACATTGCAAAATGAGGATGTGATTTTCACGAAAGTCTCTTGGGTTTTGTTTACCTGCCATCATCTTCTTTATCTCCATATAATCTAACTTCATCTTTATGAAATGGTATCTGCTCACTGGTTTGGAATCAGAAAGGAACTCTTCCTGATGACTTGACCTAGCAACCTGACCTGTAAATTTGTCTTACAGCTTGAAGGTAGCACCATTTATTTAGCCCAGTTTTCAACTCCCAATATTTACTTCTATTATTACTGTTAGATGATTGTAGGCTGCAACCAGTATTCAGTGTGGGAGAAATGCTGGATGGGGCATTTCCCAAGGACTAATTACACCTCAGGTTTTGTGTAAACTTTTGTACTTTTGAGGGAGGAGTCTGCAATGTTTGTAATTCGAGTGAGAGAATGCATTAGCATGTTCTCTTGGCAATTACCCAGTGCTATGTGCAGTTCAATTATTGGAGATTCTTGTACAAATGATGTTGAAAAGTAACTCATTTAATCAGAGAACAAAGGCCTACAATGGAACCTTTTTTCTTCCTAAATACTAAAAGAATGGTTAGAGAAAACCTTGGCTACTGCTTACTGGGTCATTGGGGTTTTCCAACTGTGTTGCCAGTAACTAAGAAAAAATAACTTTTCAGAGACATGTTGTGGAGACATTTTTTGGATTTGATGAAGAATCTGTTGATTCAGAAACATCATCTGTAACTTCATATAACACAGATAAAACAGACAGGACACCAGCAACACCAGAAGAAGATTTGGAAGATGTAAGTAGTAGCCGATTTATTCTTAAGTTCTGTAAAAACTGACAGCTAGTATAAATGTAAACTTTTTTTCAGCTACTCTGCCACAGGAACTATGAAAGATTTGGCGGAGAATTGCTTTGTTTTAAGTCCAGTAACACGTACACAGTCATTGCAATAGAATTAATAAGATAACATTCTGCCTGACAGATTTGGCAGATATTGGGCTGAGAAATAAAATTATTTTTCTCAAACCCTTTCTTATTAGTGAAAAGAAAATGAATAGGCACGTTGCATTGCCAAAAGTCAGTAGCTACTAGACTTTTGCCTTTCAATCTTATAATTTATTTGACTGTTTTGATACAACCAGGATTTTCTTCCTGTACTTATAGTAATCAGAGAGGCTTTTGCAATTCATGAAGGCTTAAGTAATCGTAGGTAGTAAATACCCGTTGACATGTTTTGTCTCAGTTATGGGATATACAGTGCAGCTGGCCTACTTTAAAAGATCGCACGGCAGAGGACAAAGGAATTAGATGCTCTTTTTCGTCTTTCTTTCCTGTTCACTAACATGCCTAATGCTCCTCAGTCACAAGAAGCTTCCTATTTTTCTAGGTTTAATACCTAATAATATTGTAATATCTTTTCTTTGGAGCTCGAGTTTCATTAAATTAGCTAAAGGGAAGGACATTTCTTGCCCTCAGCATTGTAGGAAAAACCTTGAAAGTCAGTTGCTCAAAAGTCAAAGAAAATTAAGACATTAAAAATATTTCTTGTTATAAAAAATAAAAACATAGCTTTTGAAATATAACTTCTGTGTTAGTGTGCTTGTGCTGGTGAAAGGCTTTCCCTTGGCACTGTAGAGAAGAAGAGTAAGGAGAGAGTGGTGGACTGCATGACAAGTAGAATGAACCCTTTCTGAAGCCCCTGTGGCTCTGGAGTTGCTGAAGACAGTGGTGCATAGAACTGTTCCCTCTCATCTTTCCCCAGTCAGTTTCTTACCATTTCTATACATTACTGTCTTATGTAGTAACTTGTACTGTTCTGAAATTGTAAGGTAGACACTGGTCTCTGCATTTCTGCATCATCCTCAAATCGCCGTTCCTTCCATTTCCACTTGTTTTAGTTTTTAAACCTTTATTAAACTTGAAGACTCAGTATGAGTTGTGTTGCTTGTTGTGTTTGTGATTCTATCTGTCTATATAAACAAACCCATTATCATATATATTTATACAAACCCACTTTTTTTCCTGTATTCATTAAGAGCATGCCTAAAGAAGAAGCTGAACTAAGGTTCTGCCAGCTAACAAGAGAGTATCAAGCTTTGCAAAGAGCATATGCGTTGCTTCAAGAACAAGTTGGTGGAACCCTGGATGCAGAGAGAGAAGCAAGGGTAATTTTTTAGCTGAAATTTCTTTTAACTCTGAAATAATTGAAAAAGCTGAAAAGAACTTGGAATAGCAGGAGGTATTTTTGCAGGTCAGTGAAATGCAAAGCAAAATGTTTTTGAGGATTAGAGGATATTATCAGTAAGGTAACAATTTAGATTCATCTGGTGCCGTCAGAACAAAGATATCATTATACTTTATTCTAGCATACATAATATATTAAAGATTTCAGTAGTAAGACAGTGTTATCGAGAATGATATCCCAACTGAACCTGTAATTTGGATAACAACTAGATGGATTCAAAATGAATTGGAGAATCGGTTGTTATAAGTACTTAGGTACTTTTATCATATGAGTATGTGAAAAATCTGACCTAAATCTGACAAAGGAATCTTTTCTTCAAGTGTTTTGTCAAATATACAAAATAATAATTTGTTTTTAAAAATCTCAGTTTGAGAGTATTGTTCCACTAAAAAGTACATAGCTAACCGTTGTTCCTATTAGGTCAGCATGAGTGATAGTTTACACACTTCGAAATAAATAATTTTTAATCCTCACAGTATTTGAGGTGTGCAAGAGCACATACTCTGCTTTCATTTACCCTTCTGCCACCACTGTGTTTAACCATTTAGTGAAGAGATAAGATCAGCAGAAGTCATACTAACATCTTCCATTCTGTTTTTTCCAAACGGGGGAGGAGAGAAATCACATCATAAGGAATTGTTGAGCTCTGACTCAGTCCCCAGATCTATTAGTGGAACAGCAGTGACATCAACAAAGAGCTGAGTTAACTAGAGGCAAAATTTCTTCTACTTTATCCCAACTCCTTGCAAATAGGGACATGTGTAGAAATGTAGAATCTTTGCAAGTCACTCTCTAATTCAGTGACTATTGTCTGGGGAACTGAAGGCTGGTTGTTCTCATCTAGGAGTGGGATGGAGTGAATAATCATGGAAACCATTTCCAAATGTCTGAAAGATGAGAAGGTGACTGAGAGTGATCAACGTGGATTTATGAAAGGGGAATAATGCTTAACCAGGTTGGCAGATGAGTTGAGAGCAGTGGATGTTGTTAATCTTGACTTTAGTAAATCTCTTGACAATTTTTCCCCTAAGATTCTCATAGACAAACTGATGAAGTACAGACTAGACAAGTGGACAGTGAGGTGGACTGAAAATTGGCTGAAGTAGCCTAACGGGTTATGATCAATGGCAGAAAGTTCAGCTGGAGGTGTGGCAACAGTGATGTACTGCAGGGGTTGATACTGGGTCCAGTACTATTTAACCTCTTCCTTAGTGAGCTGGATGATTGAACAGAGTGCACCTGCAGCAAGTTTGCAGATGATAGAAAATTGAGAGGAGTGGTTGATACATGAGATGGTTGTGCTGCCATCCAACCGCCTGAAGAGCTGTGTAAAGAGGATTCTCATTAAATTCAACAAAGGGAGGGAAAAGTTCTGCATGTGGGGGAGAATAACTCCAGGCACCAGTACAAACTTGGGTCTGGCTTGCTGACAAGCAGTTTTGCACAAAAGGACATGGGGAGGTCCTGGTGGACATCAAGTTGAACATGAGCCAGCAATGTGCCCTTGCAGCAAAGGCAGCCAACAGCCTCCTGGGCTGCATTAGGAAGAAAGTCCCCAGCAAGACCAATGGAGGTGATCCTCTGCAGTCAGCATTGATGAGGCTACATCTGGGGTGCTGGGCCCACCTCTGGGCTCCCCCAGTTCAAGAAAAACATGGACATATGGGACAGAGTCCAGCAAACGGCCACAGAGAGGGTTAAGGGCTTGGATAACCTGATACACAAGGAGAGGCTGAGAGAGCTGGGACTGTTCAGCCTCGGTAAGAGAAGGCTCAGGGGTATCTTATCAATTTGTGTAAATGCCTGATGGAGGGAGTAAAAGATGGAACTAGACTCTTAGTGGGACCCAGTGAAAGATGCAAAAGGCACAAATTTAAATACAAGAAATGCCATTTAAACATAAGAAAAGTTCTTCTTCCTCTGGAGGCAGTCAAACATTGGAACAGGTTTCCCAGAGAGGTTGTGGAGTGTTCATCCCTGGAGATATTCAGAACCCCACTGGGCAAAGTCTTGAGCAATACTCTAGGTGCCCTGCTGCCCTGAGCACAGGAGTTGGACAGGTAATCCCTTCCAGCCTCAATGAAACTGTGATTCTAAAAAGTATTTAAGCATTTTAAAACTCCTTAATCTACTTCCTCCTCACAAAAGCCTTCCCAAACCCCAAAAATGGTTTGGGTTTTTTTTTTTCAAGGTTCTTTGAAGTGATTCTCAATGAACCGTAACTTTTTTTTTTTTTCCTGTGCAATACAGTTTGTATATAGTAGAATTATTGCTTTATGGCTTTATTTGTTAGAGTTCTCAGCATCTTACAAAAGCCTAGTCACATTTGATGCACATTAGGACTTTGGAGATCACTTCTCAAGCTAGAGCTGGGGCAGGGGGCATAATTACATCTACTATGAAAGTAAGATTTCAGAGGCATTCATGCATTTGGCAGTTATGAGAGACCATTATATATTTCCTTTACCTTCATGGGAAGGGAGACCCTGGTGTGGATATTTTTGTAATAGCTTTACGAATTTTATTTTGCAGGCATTTGCAAACTGTTCCTTTAGAGCACTTTGGAATGGTTGCTCTTCCTTTTTAAAGGCATTTTGCTGTCTTTTGTCACATCCATAAAAATCCGTCTTTTGAGTGAGTCAGAAGGTAGATTTTTGCCTGGTTAGTTTTGTAGGGCCCAATGTTCTGATGGGATGAACATTTCCTGTTTCTTGTAGATGAGGCTTAAAGTGAACAAGGACCCAAAGATGCAAAGATGCAGAAGGAAATCCCTGTAGGAATTTTTGAACTGCTTGGGTGAAAGGGTACCTGAAGTATGGCGGGGAAGGTACTTGCAGTAGCTCGAGCCTCAGGGGCTGAAAGTCTCCAGAGATATCCTTTGGTTTATATCCTTTTTGTCTAGTACCTCATATGATCCAGTCCCTTTTAAGGCATCACTGGAATTAGGGGGTAATACCTACTGTAGTGTAATAGTTAGTGTAATAACCATGTAGAATGAGGAAAACTGACTGGTGCATGCTGTTTATGAGCTATAGAAACTATTTTGGGTCAATAAATTTTATTTACTTATAGGCCTTTTTCAATGCCTATTGCAATTGTCTTTCTCTCTCCCCTTTTTTTCCCAATTGCCTTGAATTACTAAACCTTATGAATAGAGCTCTTTCAGCTCCTTTTTTTTTTTTTTCCCCCTAAGAGCTTTGTCACTGAATATGTGATGATATTGTTTTAGGCTAGAAAGGAAAAATGCTGTTAAACTGATGACTTGAACTATTTAGTAACATAAACACAAAAGCAATTTTTTAAATGAAAAACATTAAATCTGACTGGACAGACCATAAATGGGTAGAATTTACGAAGATTCTGTGTGTAATTAAATCTACCTGTCTACCTGGATGTGCATGCATACACACACTTTTTGATACTTTTTTTTCCTCCAGACTCGTGAACAACTGCAAGCTGATCTTCTCAGGTGTCAGGCAAAAATTGAGGACCTGGAGAAAGCTCTAATTGAGAAAGGACAGGTAAAAGGCTCTCTTAATGTCCTCTGCCACATCATTTTCTCCCTTGCATGCAGTGGTGCCCTTGCCATCTTCATTGCTTGCTGGTGTGTTAGTGTGACTAATGCAGCTTGATTGCTACTCCTGCAACAGATTACTGAAATGAAGGAAAGTATTACATGGGCTAAGAAAATGCTATTAAAGATCCATTTCTGACACCTAATACACTTATTAACAGCTTAATAACAGCTTAATAACACAGAAGCTTAATATTGAAGTAACCGCATGTACATGCATTGTAAATTCGGTTCCCATTGTAATTTGAAGGCTTTTCTCCTGTTTTCTACTTTGTTCATATTTGCTATAAATTCCAATAAAATAAATGTTCTATATTTGTACTGGAGAATATTTTTGGTGCATAGAAAAAATCAGAAACCAAATCACTTCCAGACATGCTTCAGATAGAGAAATGAACCACTGAGTGTGTCTGGTTACTAGAAGCCACTTGGGGTGTTACTCTCCTGGGCTTAAATTCTCAGAGGACCCAACTCCTTTCAAATTCCCATACCGTCATACAGAGTAAAATTAGGCCTTATGCTTCAGTGTATCTTGTAAATACTTGACGTGCATGTGGCTACTGATGCATACTGAATAATGTCTAGGAACTTCAGGAAGGCTGATTGAGAGTTATGTGAGTGCATGTAGAACATGTCCAGTTACGTAACTGATAGAATGCATTGAGAAAATTGGGGAGATGTTATTTCACACTTTATTGTTTGAAATAACAATTTTAAGATTGCAGCATATGGTAATAAAATAAGACATAGCTATCTATAGATATATATTTCAAAGACTAATGATCCTGTAGCAATGAACAAAAACAACCTGTGAATAATGCCAAGTTAATGACATTATTTTTTAATGGATTATTCTTTGTAAGAAAAATTTTCCATAAGATTCTGTATAAATACAAAGGTTTTGGGACCGTATTCAAATTAAGGATAAAAATTGTTTATGCTAGCTTCCACACAAACTGCAGTTTGCTTAGGAAATTACATGTAAATAAAGCATTACTAAAAATAGAAATTATGTTTTCAATCTAAAAATTATGGTTCAGTGAGCTTTTGGAAGAATAAATGAAACTGATGACCTCTCTAGGATCTGCTGCTCACATTTGAGTGTGTTGCTGATAAAGGTATTGTGGGCAAATTGCTGTGTAATTGAAAACATTAACAACATAATTGACTATTACAGTGTAAAATGTAAGTACTGTGTATGTAGATAAGATAAGTGAACGTGGATACCCATGTAAGAAATTACTTCTGTGATTTTGCTTCCAGAATGTTATGTCAAAAAGGTGTGCCTGAAAAGCAGAATTTAATTAGTTATTTCCTTATGAGATTCATAACCACATTTTGAACCTTGTATCTCTTAGTAATCCTGAGAAAGCCAAGAGGGATGTGACAAAGAGCAATATGATATTGTCTCTAGTGGGCTAGTTTGTAAGCTGAGCATTAACTTGCTACAGAATTGGTGACAGTGTCTTCCTGGGAGCTCTAGCACCTGCTCAGTTCTTCTGACCTGTTAGTATTTACATTCAACAAAATAAATGGTTGTGATGATAAACTAACTTCTTTGTGCACTATGTGATTTTTTTTAATTATTGCTCTGTCATTTAGGTGGTCATAGTAGTGATGATTTAATAATACTTGTGAAATGTTCATTCAGGGAACCAGTCCCTAAAGTCCTTTTGAAAAGCAAACAATGAATCAAAACATCCTGGGAATTTTCAGTCTTACTTTGCAGCTTTAAGAAACAGAAACAGCAAAAACCTTTGCAATTTTCCTCAAGTCAAATTCAGAGCAGGAGATTAGAATCTTATTATTAAAAAAATTATTTTAAGCTTGGTTTATAACAATTTATAACAATTTCAGGGTGTCAATGGCTCTTGTTAATCTCTCATCAGCTTGATCTGTCAGAATTCCCCTAGATGTGAAATAAGACTAATCCATCTCTGCAAAGTACATTGAGGTGCATGAATAAGAAACATTACGTTAAGGGAAGTAATTCTTATAAAATATTAAAAGTGGTATATAATAAATCTCAAAATATTGGAGTATGTAATGTGCCAGACTGATTTTTTTTTTTTTTGAATGCTCAGCTCTCTCTGTGATCTGGTGTGTATATAGAAACAATCCCACTGAAGTTAAGGTTTTCTCAGAAAGTCTAGTTGAACTGACTTCATCAAGAATGACACAAAAGTTAATTATCAATAGGGCAAATTAATCTATTTTTTTCTACTTGTGTGAACTGGAATAGTTGAACTTGCAGGTCTGATGTAGCTTTTGAACTGGCCTTTTACCATATACATGCATTGGGATTTCCACCCTAAGTTTGTGAGTGCAATTCTGTGTTCATTCCTTGACCTTAGTAAAATGCTAATTAAATTAAATTAGACACTGGATTTTACTGTAAACATTTATTTCAACAATTCTTGACAGATGTCATGCATTTCAGGATTATTATTCTCTGGTTGATATTTGTAACATTATAACCCCAAAGAGCTTATTTACTGCATGAAAGTTAAAATGCGCTTGTGCAGTCTTGTGTGTCAGTGTGAAAAGGAGAAAGAACAGTAGAATATGTAAATATAGTGGGCAGGAGGTAGAAAATCTAACTTTAAATTTTTTAAAAATGTAAATATTATTTTGTAATATTTTAGATATTTTTGGTTGATGTTTCAAGGATAGTTGATGGGCTGTGATATCCAGATTTCGTTAATTTCTCGTGCAGCATCAGTGTGGATACACCTTGCTGACAAAGAAAATATCAGTCCTAATACTTTACTAAAGACATTAATATTTCAAAGAAGTTGTCATTTTCAGCTAGAAAATAATTTTATCTGGAGTTAGTATGGCATGTTAAGTGTTGGATATTGTTTTATTAAACTTATTACAGCAGGATGAACTGGTTTATGTAAATACTTTTCTCTACAGGGAGAACAGAGTGAATATGTCAGTTACAATCCATTAAATCTGAATGTCCAGCTATGGCTGGCAGTGAGTTTTTGTAACTTGTGTCTTTAAAGGAGTATTTGATGAGGCCTTTTGAAGCCATGGAAAAACCTAAAAGCAAGGTCAGCTTTGGAACAAGTGCTCAAATGGAATACAGTTTTCAAATGGAGTATGGAATATTTTATATCACTTCCCATCTTCCATAGCCTTGAATTCCTTATCATAAATGATGTACATTAGCCTGATGCTCACACTTCTTGTAGAGGGCAATTAACTGCATACGACTGAAGCTTATTTTCAGTCTTTTGGGATGATTAAATATTTTTTTTCCTTTTCTCCATTAGGATGTGCATTATACCACTCAAAATGGGATGATTTTGGAAGGAAGTTCCAAACTCTTTGCAATGGAAATAAATAGTTTTGAGTTAAGCTGAGTAAATAATGCTTTTAAAATTACATAAATTATCATACAGCTGCATTCACCCACAATTGCCATATGTAAAGATTTTAAAGTGTGTGCTTAGCTGGAACACAGGAAACAAGAGACTCAGCTTCAGGAAAAAACCCAAACTTTTATTTTCTCTGTAGCTTAAAATGCTATTTATCCTTGAAATATTTATGAAATATTTGATTTTTTTTGGTGTGTGACCATTTTTATACTTGAATGTACAATGGTGTCTGAAATCTTCTAATTATTGTGGTTATTCATTTGTCCTGCTTAACAATATATAATTTTAATATTTTAATCTTCTTCCTTGTAGGATTCAAAATGGGTAGAAGAAAAGCAGCTGTTAATCAGAACAAATCAGGAGTTGCTAGAGAAGGTAAGTGTTCAGAATCTGGGAATATTTTCCCAGTTGCTACTCTTTATCAAAAGGAATGGTATATGGAAATAAATGTAGTAGGTACTGGAATGTCACCATGAAAATTGCTTACTTTAATTCTCTCCAGAAACACAAATTCAGATAAACGTATCTGATTAAATTACCAATATCCTTTTGTACTTTTTGGGAATGGAAGCTGCTCTTGTGGTTTTATATACTTTATAGCCAACAGTAAAACCCAAGCTGGCTGATGTTTCCAGTGACCAACAAAATACGATCTAAAATATTAAGCATAGCGTGAAATCTTGTATTTTGTCAAATAGTTACACAAAGATCATTATTATCCTGATCACTGATAAAATTGCCTGCTACCTTCAGCCTTTTATTTTTTACAGTTTTTCCTCACATTAGGTAATACTGATTGATTTAAGACTATTGTATCATTTACTATCTGAGATACTCAGAGCTGAGCATCCTCATTGTTCTTCACTGATATTGATGGGAAGGTTAGCTAATACTCAGGAAGTCAAAGAATTATTTTTCTTAATTAGTAGATTAATATTAATATATTAGGAATAAAATAACGAGAGAAAAATTAATTGCTAAAAGTAGCTACATCTGAACTTAATTTATTCAGCCACCTACACGGGCATTATAAGCATTATAGTACATTATGCCAGATGTTACACTTCTATTTAGTTTCATACAAATAAAGAGATCACCCAGTTAAGCTAGACAGTAGACTAAAGCTATTAGTTGGCATAATGAATAGTCTATTTTGAGTTTCTATTTTGTCATTGTTAGCACCCCAAAGCAAAAATCTGGAAAATTAAAAAGTAGGCATTGAAAACTCTCCATTATTGTATTTCATATACTGTAAAGAGTAAAGGTCTAGTTATGCTAACACAATGAGAACAGTCTACCCAAATGATAATGTAATCCAGTTTCATTCACTTGAATTTAAAATAAAGCTTGTATTGCTTAACTTGTTTAGATACAATATTCATATCACATTTCATACTACTTACTGATTACAATTCTTAGAGGTCATTGACCATTTTATGCTGGCAGTTCTCACAAATGCTTTCTGATGTGATGTTCCTCCTTTATCTCCCAGACACAACCCAACATGTAATGAGAAACTGAAATAATTAACGGTTTTGTCTAAACCCCTGGCCCGTAACTCTGTACAGTATCTTTTACATTTCTTACGGCATGTCATGATGTTGTGTTTGTTTCATAGATTTACAGAATGGAACAAGAAGAGCATCAGCTGAAGAATGAGATGCAAGATGCAAAAGACCAGAATGAGCTGTTAGAATTCAGAGTGCTAGAACTTGAAGTAAGAGATTCTCTCTGTTGCAAACTCTCAAATGGAGCAGAAATTATGTTTGAACCCAAGCTGAAATTCCTGTAAAGATTACTGATGTCTGGTGCATATTTAAGGGAAATAACTTAGGTATCTATTTTTTAAATGTTGTATCTTGGGATAATGAAATTGATACCACTGCCTTAATATGTTTTGGAGAGAGTGCTCACTAATGTTTATAAAGTTGTAATACAGCTAATATATATTGCATATAGTTTGTTTTTCATCTAATAAAATATTTTGTTTTGCAATATTTTGCCTTTTTTATTTGTTTCATTTCCATAACTGCTCCTTTCTTGCATGTAAATTCACTTGGTATGTATACTACAGCCTTGGTTGGCATTGTTTAAATTAACACACCTTCTCACATCTTGCATGCAGTGATCTTACTAAAGATCTGACACATCCATCACATCAATTTATAATTGCTTTTAATTACATTGGTTTAAGATTTACAACATTCATAAGACAAAAAATGATCATAACGCATTTTGATAGCAGCTTTGAAACAATTTCTCTTAACTGAAATCCATTTTTTGTTGGTAAAAAATGGTCATGGACTAGAAATAATTGACATCAGTCAATGGAAAAAGGAAAAAAAAGCTCTGATAATGTCAAAGTTAAAGTGGTGAAGCACACATGCAACTTCTGTACGTGAAAGTAGTGTGCTGCTGATAGCAAACAAATTCTATACTTCACACAAATGAAATCACAGCGAAGTTATTTGTGAATAACAATTTGAACATGTAGCCTGTGGTTACAGTCAAAAGCAACGGTTCTCATCACCTCCTAAATGGGGTCCGTGTCAAGCTCGGTAACACTAAACTACTCATGTGTGATGCACAGTTGTCACACAGTTGTATTACCTGATAACGCACTGTTCCATTTCAAAGATCATCAGCATTCTTAACACCATTTTGAATAAACTCTCCAAGAAACCTGTCATTGTTACTCCACCATAATTGTCATCACCCAGCACGTGTCACCAAAAATATTGGCATGTATAACTTCTCTGATAAAGATGAAAATGTCATGTCTTCCTGTTATGTGGACATTCTGCTTTTTTGTCTTTGACATTTCTTAATATTTTTTTAATCTTTTACTTTATTACTTTATCAGTCATATATTTTGATGTCATAGCCCATTATATTCGAAATTATGACTTTAGGTTATTGGAGTTTCAGGAGCTGTTCAGGAAAATAAAAATACTTTCTAATACATATCTTTCTATTTTATTAAGCAACTGTAAAGTAAAATACTGAACAATTTAGCATTTGAATTGGCAGTTACACTATAAACTGCTTCCTAAACTGTAAGTATTCTTAGAAGTAAAACACTAAAAAAAAAAAAATTTCTTAGGAAAAGAAAAAAAGTGCTTCAATACATCCTTCAAGGAATGTCTTTTTCACATGGAAGAGTCACATGAAAAATAGCTCTGTGTGATGTGTCGAGTTTTGTCATGTGCCAAATCTTTAAGGACTTGGTCCACAGAATAACGATGGAAGTACTTCTGTATGGTTACCAGAAAAGATTTTTTTCCTTAGTAGGCAAGCATGTAGACACAATTGTGACTTACAATGTGAATGCTTTAGTAAAATCATGAATGCTTCTGGTAATCATGACAGTATTTTTTTGAGAGCAATTACATTATTTCTGATGAAAATTAGGCTAGAGTAGAAAACACAAGCATTTGTCTATCATTTAATGTGAGCAAATTCAAGATGAAAATTAGGCTAGAGCAGAAAACACAAGCGTTTGTCTATCATTTAATGTGAGCAAATTCAGGTGAGTAATGCAATAAAATAATTTTTTAAAAAATCTAAAATGGTAACTGAATTTGGACAAGAATTAAGTTTCTGGTTTTGGATTAAAACAGCTAGGTCATTTAAACTCATTTCAAAATTAGACTGTTAATGCAAAAAATTATATAAGATAAAGCCTATGAGGGGGAGAAACTTATAGACTACAGAGATTAAACTACCAAATTTTGTAATTAAGGAAATTGGGCAATGCATGGATGGTCATAGGAACTGAAATATTCGCAGTAGCTCTCTTTCATTATACTGTCAGAAACTGAAGCTCTTGTTGCCAGGGCCTCCTCTTGTCATATGGAGAGGAAATATGTTTTTCCTCACTTGTGTTCCCATGGCTATAGAGAATTCAGAGTAAGACCAAGTGCCTTGGTAGCCCAGAACCTTCAATACAGTCGTTTTCACAAGCATGTTAAAATTTAATTTAGGTAAAATCCCTTATTTATTGTTTTACTGTATTTCTGCCTTCTGAAGAAATAATAGGTTGGTATTCTGAAGAAATGCATGCAAGTCAAGTACATGGGCTGAATAAGTTTTAGAAATACTATTGTTTTAGATAAAAGGCAATTTATAATTTTTAGTTTTGGCACAAAGAACATCATAAGCATACAGTAGTGCTACCTTCGACATATTCTGACATCCTGGGTTGTGCCATGAATAGAATTGGGGATTTTACATACTCTAATAGAAAGGTTAACTGTAGAATAAAGAGGGAGCAAATACACAGCTTTAACTTTATTGAAAAAATTTTCAGTGATACTACTTTTTCATGACAGAATTCAATTTTTTTTTCCTGCAGTTTCTTCATCTTAAATCGCTCTTTGTTCCAAGAAAGAAAGAAAGAAATAGTTAAATAAGGTTATAACCAACATGAAAAACTGCAGAGTTTTTTAGGGCTTGGTCAGTTATATGGCCAGTGTGCAAGGGTTCCTGTGTCGGGGGAGTGTCAGTTCACTGTGCAGAAACCATGTGTGCATGGAATCCGTTGGAAGCTAATGCCATTTTCGTGCTTAGCTAAAGCCAAAGTCCTTCACATATGGGGAAAGTAGGAGGAAATACCATCTATTTGAAATGTGAATAAGAATCTGCCTTTTTAATGTCAAATGTGTTTTGTAAAGGTAGGAAATAAAAGTTTACATATAATCACACATGTTGTTTTTAAACAAAATCTTTCCTCAGGAGAGAGAACGAAGGTCGCCGGCATTTAATCTTCATATAACCACCTTCCCTGAAAACAATGGAAGTGCACTTCAACTGTTCTGTCAACATGAAGGAATAAAGGTATATGTAGAGCATTAGTAAGAGTTGGACAACCAGGAGCTTTTTTGGAGTGACCAACCCAGTATCCAAAGAAATCGTTTGCCATCTTGCTGTAGGGAAGAAAATCTGTAAAAATAAATATAGTAAGAAAAGATATTTTTAACTGGGGAAAAGGTTTCATAAGAATATGATCTGGTAGTCTGTCAGGAGTTCATCAATGAAACCGAAAGCTGGTCAGTTAAGACAATTAACATTTAGTCTAGGGTACAGCAATAAAAACATTGCCGAGAAGAATGTGATGTTGATATGATTCCTTGTCAGGCTTGCTACAGTGCTTTGTTCTTGATATTAAATGTTTTCTTCTAAGGTCAGAAATATGACATTCACCTATTATTTTACACCCAGTTTAGTGAAACATCTTTGCATTTTGTTTGTTTAATTAATATTCTTAAGTTAATTTGCCTAGGCCAGGGCGTTGAAGCATGAGGTGCCTGATACAAAACTCATTCAAACAGATGAGACTGTGTCTGTCATTTTAGTATAAGCACAAAATAAACATCGGGATGCCACTAGGGTAGCCTATGCTATGAGGAAGCAAGAATTACACTTTTCACTTCTGTTCTCCTTTGCATAGACTAGCTGTGCAAGTTGATTTGTGTATTGGCCCACTTACGACAGAATTCAGACTTGCTTTGTTAGTAATGTTGCACTGCAGGCCAGGGTAACTTCTACAAGTAACTAAAGCAGAATATCTCTGTGTGTTATACTCCCTGGTACTCGCTAGTAATTTGTGCATGTATTTGTAATTTAGTCTACAAGTTCTCTTATTTTGTATTGTTTGTATTCAGTGCCTTAATAAGCACAATACTATATGTAGGGAATAAATTGAAATTGCAGGCTGTATGTCTGCTGAGTACTCTAAAAGAAAAAAAAAACTTAAAACCTGATTCTTATATACAGGTTTGGTTGGGTAGTCATTTCCCAAACCACACCAGGAGTCATCAGTTAGCATATTATCCTTCAAATGGTGCCTCCATGGGATACTAGACCTGCTTTTTAACTTACCTGTTATTCTAATTTGCACATTGGCTGTACCAGGTACAGCTTACCAGGATCTATGGCTGTACCAGGTACAGCTTACCAGGATCTAGAATTCATATTTTTTCCATCGTCTTCTGTTGCATTCCTAAACAGGTATTTTTTTCAGTCTGCCTTTCAGTTCACTTACCTGGAAACAGGGGCAGTCACCTAATATGGGCATACTGAAATTGTTGACTTTTAATAGGTTTTCAGTGTCTTTCAAAATTGTTAGCCATCAGTAGCAAATTAGATTCTAGAATGATGCAAAATCTGATTTTGTTTCTAAATCTTCCTGTGTGCTTCACCATGGAAATTCTGGCTCAATAGGTGCAAGAACTTGCATGTCTTACTGAATTCCATTTTTCACTAGTGTAATTGATCAGCTAAAGAAGTTTCCATTCAACGTTGTCAATGCTGATCATAATCAGTAGTTTTGTTTTTAACACCGATCCAAACGCAAATGTGTATTAAGCTCTGCACCATTCTGAAATTATTGATGTGCACTATTTAAAAGCTAAAGTAACTTTTGGAGACACTGCTGAAGTGTTTGGGGAGAGAGAAAAGAGAGGGAGGGGACTTCTCAGGGTAGACTAACTTCACAACACATTATTCCTTTTTTTTTGGAGCCAGGATGGACTAATTTGTGTATTCTCTCCAACATCTGTGTCTGGTCTTCAGGAAATATTTCCTTTCTTACTAAGCCTTCCTCACTGGATTCTGCTAGGTACAGAATCATGAACAAATATATTCTGGTGTAGTTGTGTAGTTTGCAAGCATAGCTAATTTAGCTTTAAAATTTTTTAGTGGTTGGTCATACTGATTCCCACATAATGCAGTTGCACAATGCATAGATGCAAACCAGCACATTATGGACTGTAAGTGATGAAACTAGTGAGCCAAGACAAAACCCTGTGAAATGTTGGCGTCTTCTAAGAAGTGCTGAATATGAGCAGAAGTTGAGGGTACCAGCATTTAACACGGCTGTCTTGCTTTATGCATGTGTATTAAGCATTTCAGACTAACATGGACTGGTCGTTGCCCATGCTCTCAAGCCTTCCTACCTTCAAATAGCATGGCTCCACACAAGCTGTCAGTAGGAATGACCCCTGGTCCATGGTAACTTGTGGACCATACATGGGAGCGTTCAGGAGAATATGATTAACACAGGTTAAACACTTCCACGAACCTTTCCAGCAACTTTCTAAGGTAGAAAGTAGAGTTCCTAGGAATCGTCCCTGGCACTGTGTAAAATACAGACATTGGGTGAATTTATTCCTCTCTTTTTTGTGTCAGAGTAGTGTTTTTCTTGATTTCAGTGACTATGCTGAAATAAGGATGGCTGTTTGCTGCTTTTTGTGGATCTGGGGGCTGACTGGCAGAGAAACAAGGCTTTCTATTCACAAAGGTTGTGAGCTGATAGTGTTCGGGGGAGCATGTTCAGCCCACCACGCATATTCCTTTCTTCCACTGTAAGGCTGATTTGAAACTCCTTTCTTTTGTTTAAACAAAGAAAATTAAAAAAAAAGAAAACCACCCAAAAAAACCTTTGCAATTATTTTGTTCATGCTCTCTGTCATTTTAAGTTCTTTAGCTCGATGTGCTTGATGCTCCACTCCAAACAAAAAGAAAAAAAACCTAGTCCTTTACTCCTGTTTATCAGTTTTGATCTTTCGTCTGCATACATGAGCAGGATGATAAATGTGAATCGTACAGGAACTTCATACACACAGACATCCGGGTTGCTTGCTATAATCAAGTGTGACGTTTGGATTTGTCTCTGCAAGTGTTGATAACACTTTTGTAATTGCGATGCAAAACTAATGTTTCATTTATTTACATTTCAAGTCTTTTTGCATGTAGAAGTGAATAAAGGTACATAAAATGTAGTATATGAAAACTGTTTCTCACCTGCTATATAAAAAATAAGTGTTGAACGTCTTTTTCAGGATGTGAATATATCTGAACTTATGAAGAAGCTAGATATTCTTGGAGATAACGGGGTAACAGATTTTTCATTTCAAATATATACCTCTAGTTTTATGGCTATTTTAAAGCAGTTTTTCCCTCACAGCAGTAAATAACGTTCAAGAAAACACACAGAGTGATTTTTATATGCCTATGTTTTTATGAAAAATATGAATGGTTAGGTACTACTATTACAAACTTAAAAGAAAATCTTTCAGTTAAACTGGTGCTAGTGAAAAGTGTATTTTCTCAAGATAGGATTTGATCTTGGCTGAATGACATGGAAAAAAAAGACACTGTAGCAGGCAGAGGGAAAAGATATAAACTGGGCTAGGGGAGAAAAAGTAAGGAAGTCAAAGCCAGACCAAGGTATTCCTGACTTTTTTCTCTTGAGTAGTAATAGTAGCACCTGCGACTGTGAAGGATCCCTCTGCCAGGAGTTGATTTGCTAGGAGAAAGGGCAAGGATAACTGGTTCCCTTTCTTCTCCTGTATTGCCAAATATGGTATAAAATCTTGGTGGTGTGGTTGGGGCACAAACATCCATGGGTCTGCGTCCACTTACAAGGCAGCTTTAAGAGTTTGAGGGATTTAGAATACTAGTTTTAAGCTCTAGATTTCCTTTTAATGTTGAAAGTTCTGTGGAGGTTTGTGTGATACTTGCTCTTTCTTTGCATTGTTTTCATTAATGGGAAGTCTACCTCTGAAGTGCATGAGGGGGAAGATTCACTTGCTGTGGGGCTATATTCCAGTGAACTGGCATTCTTCTGGATAGAAGAAAAAAAAGACATTTCCAAATCCCTGACAGAAACCACTTAATTTTCAGTCAATAATGTACTGTTGCAAAAGTGTTGTGGGAGTGGTGTAGTGAAAAAGAGTGGAGACTAAGTACCCTTGACTTGGCTTTTAATACTTTTAGTCATGGGATCCTTTCTGGTCGTGTGTATAAAATGCTAAATGTTATAGCTGTTTATTTCTTACAGTACAATTAAATTTGTCACTTGTATTGAAGCATGGATTTCCAATCCAGTTTAAAATGCATCTTTTTGTATTTTAGAATTTGAGAAATGAAGAACAGGTTGCAATAATCCAAGCTGGGACTGTGCTTTCCCTCTGTGAAAAGGTAGAATTCAGTAAAGTTTTTTCTCTCCCTAAAGACTGACTGTGTCTTCTCAGATGGCACATGACTTTCCCAGGGAAGCATGGCTTTTCTGTTAAAGTTGTCTGGATTGGAGCATGTATTCATCCTTATGTGACTTTGTTGGAATTGTGATGTCTTGAGGTAAAACCAAACTAATGAAATAAACCCAATTTAAAAATAAAAACAAGCTTTGGAGATGTTCCCTTAGAATAAAGCACTAAAAAGCCACTTAAGAAAAGAAACTTCATTCTCAGAAGTGCCAGTGTCCTCAGGTCTCTGGGAACAGGGTGCTGTGAAATCCTTTGTGTGTCGTACCACCGTGGTCCATTTTGGGCCCGTTTCTGTGTATGACTGAAAAAACTCCTACTGATATGTGGTCCTTTCCTCCATAAATTACTGGGCATAGAGAGTAAAAAGGTAGTTTTCACAAGACAGGTAATCAGTCAGGTCACTTGGTTCTGCACAACTAGTTCTTTAGGAATGTCTTCAGTTTGTCACCTTCAAAATGAAGAAAACAAAGTTGATGAGAATAGAATCACTGGGGAATATAGTATTCCTGTTCACTTTTTTTGGCTCTGTACAAAGCTAAACATTCTAAGTAGATAACACGAGTTTCTGTTTTTATCCACCAGTCTCTTAAACAGTGGAAGGTCCATAAGGATGATTTAATGGATTCACATTTTGTTTATTTGTGAACTTATGTTTGCAGATTTCCTATCTAAATCTTTGGAAAAAATTGAGATGCCATTAATTCCTTTGAGTCAGAGCCCCAATGAACTCACCAAAGCCCTAAATTTAAAAAGCCAATGTGTAATGCTTACCAAGAGTTAAAGTAAATAGGACTAATCTAGTGCTAGTAAGCAAAACGTTTGAGGAAAGTTATAATTATCAGTGGCAAAGCTACAATTGGTCTTAATGGGAGCTGGTGCTACAAAAAGAATCTAGTAAGCTAGTCGTTGATCCTTACTGCAGATGAATAAGGAAATTAAACAAACAATTCAGAACTGAGCATTCCCATACATTCCAATAAATTTAAATGCTGAATGTTAATATAATCCTGGTGATGGTTAGTAATTAAGCAAGAACTTTCTATCCATGCATTTAGCAATTAAAATATGTAATTTTACTTTTGGAATGCAGTGGCCATTCTTCTTGATTCTGATTGTTTTGTTTGTCACCAGAATGGTTAGGGATTTGTGGTAGCAACCACATGAACTTCCATCTGTCTGTCCATTTTATTGTTCCCTCTACATTATTGATGTTTTAGAAATGAAGCTCTTCCTGGGAAGGGGGCAGCAAACTGTGCGAAATGAAAGATCAAGTTTGCCACCTTTGCTTTTGTTTAAATTTCCATCTGTAAAAATGCAGGACTGGTGCCTTGAAATCATAGAATGGTTTTACAAATCAGGCCAATGAGCATTGGATATATCAAGTCGGAAACAATCGGGTTAATTTTGAATTCTTCACCCAAATCTGTTTGGTCTCTTGAACTTTACAGAGGGAAAAACCCTTTAATTTATTGTAGAAAAACCACCTCCACCTGTTAGTCCTCAGTACATTTCTACAGTTCTCCATTCTGTCTATGTTTTCATACCTGTTTATTAATGTGTAACTTCGAAGTGAATAGAGAGTAAGGGGGGAAACATGCCTGGGAGTTTTGGCAAGAAACTTGCAAAATGTTCAGTGCAAATATTTCAAAAGCTCTGTTTTTCTCATTTTTTATTTTTACCTCTTCACACTGCAATGTTCATGCAGTGGTTAAAACAGATAGAGGGGACAGAAGCTGCACTGACACAGAAGATGTTAGACCTGGAGAATGAAAAGGTAAGGAACAATAACTAAAACTATAATTCATTTAGCTAAAGCTCATCTCAAGGGAACATGTATCTTCATCACAGGTTGATTTGCTGCCTTTCTCTGCTTAACAGAGATTGCTTCATGGTGAAATAGGCAGGTTTCTAGAACAATTTATTGCTTGTATTCTTTGGAGTGTGAGGGAAGCTATATAGAACAAAAATAACAAAATATATACAAATTAGGACACAAAGGCATAATTTTGCAGAGCATATTAACCAAACAGTGTGAAGTTGTCTTTGTGCTTTCTCTGTGTATTTATTTGTCTGGCAACAGCATTGTCTTTTTAATCTTGAGGCCATGTTAGTAGGATTGTCAAGGATAATCCTTTGCTCTCTGGTATCAGCTTGCGGACAAGTCGTAAAGACCTCTTACTCCAAATGACCTTTCCTGCTCCAAGGTCTTCATGTTTAAAGGCAGAGTGTTTTCTCAAAAGCAGTTCTGTCTTGCATAACAAGCTCAGTGCTATACTGACCTTGTCTTTCCCTGTGTTGAACAAAGAGTTTTGGAACAATGAGTGTCTGGTTTTATTGGTTTACCATGCATGCTGTGCTTCTCATCTTCAAATGGCTTTACAAACACTGATTAATCCTCGCCACACCTTTTACGGGTAGATAACTAATCAGCATTACATTCCTCTTAAAGAATGGGAAACTGAGACAGGGAGGTTAAGCGATTTGCCCAGGGCCACTGAACAAGTGTGCATTTGGGCCACAAAAGAAGTGCTCGGACTGTGTTCTCTGCTGAGTGTAGCCTATCATACTGGTAGTACTTTAACATAGGTATGATCCTTTCCACATTTAGTATTTCTTTATTTTTAACTCTTGTTACGGAAAAATGCAAAGGTTTTGGAGAGGGAAAGTGCCCACAAATACTAGATTATTTTATAAAAGGAATTAGAAAATAATAGGTTCTTTCTAAGTTGGTTTATTATCTTCCCACTTATTATCTGGGGTGTTTTCAAGTCTTACTCTGGATAGCCCTGTATCAATTTGTTTAGCATAGCAATCTGAGAGTCTCCATTGCCAATAATTGACTCAATTGTGAAATAAGTTTAGAAATAATATTCTAATGTAACACTTTCAGAAGGGCTGAGCACTGATTTAGTTGTTCTTGGAACCCATGTTAAGAGTTTGAGATCCTGTTCTTGTTTCCTTCCCTCTTGCTTTTTTGTGTCTGGCTTTTACAATAGCTTTTGGAGAAGCAACATGATCAGGGCAGCTGCATTGCTATTCTGGGATCTCTCGGTAGCTCTGATCCTCTCCATAGTCTTAGGCAAGTCAATCGTCTTCTCTGGTGTCAGACACTTGTAAGCACTTTAGGCCTGTCCTTTACTATGTGTACATAGTACACAGTGATATCGCGTCTTGTGCAACAGCCATGTCCACAACTTTCTTGCAACATCATCGTTTTGGATACTGAATTCTACTGAAATCCCAGCTTGGGCTATGTGCATATATAGATTTACTGTGAGGGTGGTGAGGCACTGAAACAGGTTGCCCAGAGAAGCCGTGGATGCCCTACCCCTGGAGTTGTTAAAGGTCAGGTTGGATGAAGCTTTGAGAAACCTGGTCTAGTGGAAGGTGTCCCTGCCCATGGCAGGGGGGTTGGAACTGGATGATCTTTAACGTACCTTCCAACCCAAACCATTCTATGATGCTGTGAGATACATACGTATATATACACATAACTGAGAAAGTTGGTGAGTTTGATTTTAGAAACAAAAGCAAAAAACCCCTGTAAATCCTAGGTGTGTTGAAAACTTCTTCAGCTCTTCGGCTAAAGTCATTTAACCTCTCTGGGCATCACTTACCCATTTCAGATTGGCTTCCTACCTTTACGAGTTCAGAGCTGAGCTTTTACTTCTGCTTCACTAATGTGTCAGGGAACGTTGCTGCAGAACCCAGCTAGGTCCCTGCATGTTCTGGGTTCCTGCCTAGAAGAACAGGCTAGACAGCACAGATTATGGTTTCCCAGTGATTTCCTGGATATTTTCAGAGAAGCAGTAAAGTGCTCTCACTTATGTGTCTCTGTTTCCTCCCTCGGCCTGCCCTGCGCAACTTAACAACTATTGGACCACATGCATGCACGTACATTCCCCTTCACCTTTCAGCCTTTGTGTGCACTTCTGTCAGGTCAAGGCAGGTTTGTCCACTGGTGTAGAGGTGTACACTTTATCAGTACAACTCGTTAATATGATACACGTATTTTAAGTGCTGATATTGTAAATTTGATATTCCAGATATCTTTAGGATGAATGTGATCATTGGCTATACATTTTCTTTGCTTTCAAGTGGAAAACTCTAATAAGAATGATGGCATTTATGATTCTTCATGAATTAGGATAAAGAACAAACCCTCCCTTGTTTTTATTATTGCTCAGGACCTGTTCAGTAAACAGAAGGGTTATTTAGAGGAAGAACTCGACTACAGGAAGCAAGCTCTGGACCAGGCATACATGGTAGGAAAAGATCAGTCATTAAATTTTCATGTTTGAACAAATTTGAAAAATACAGAGTTGGTTTGTTTTCTTTTATTATAAATAGGGTTCTTTTTAATGGATTTATTTTTTTGCCAGACTAGGAAATCAAATACTACTTAAATGGAGATCTAGGAAATGGATTACAGTATCTAGAAGTACGATGTTTTTGCATTGCATTTTTTTATTCTAAAATATGTGGTCATTTTGTTAGTACATCTGGAACGGGAAGAGCTTGTCTATTTGTACAAAAAATAATCACTGGTAAAATACACCAGAAATTACATTAGAACTTTTCAGATTTCGTTTTTTCCTAAGCATTTTGTAAGTATTACTTCTGCTAACCTATTCCAAGTTGGGAATGCTTGTTCTTCCAATGCGATTCCTTCCTATGCTGTCCTATCCAACCTTACCTTTCCTAGTTTTCAAAAGGGAAGCTGCAAGCTTGCCCTCTGTCAGGCTAAGCAAAATTAGGAATTATCTAGGGATTAGTAATTGCACACCCAACTTTGTTCATAGTGAAACTTCAGGGAATCAAAATATAATGTCCTGTAGAATTATTTATACATTGTAAATATTTCTTATGGGGAAAATGTTTTCAGAAAAGAAGCAAGGTCTAGCGCTCAGAGCAGATAACAGAAATAAAAGCAAGCAGTCTCTATTTCTAGCACTGTGACCTTGGGCAAGCCATTTAACCTCTCTGTGCAGCTGTTTATACATCACTAATATGGATAGAATTACCTACCTCACAAAGGTGTTATGAGGGCTAAAGGGATGTTGTCAGATGCTCCAAATATTGTCAGTCTGGATGCTGGTTTTTAATAGGACCATACTAACCCCAGTAATCAGGGAAACTGCCATGATTCCTTTCTTCCTTTACTCTTGAGAATACATGTCTCCATATGAATGTAAAGTTCTCCTGTGCTCTCTGCTTTGCAAAGTGCTGCAGTTTTGGTCAGTGCATGAGAATCTGGTTAGGAATCTGGCAAATGGCAAGAGACTGATGAGGGATTAGCGTATGCAAGTATACAAGCATTCCTCCCGTCATTGCTTATGGCAACCTGGAACTAAGCCAGTGGTGTGGACTTACAGCAACAGATGGCAGGACAGTAGGGCCAGAGAGAGGGAGACAGTAAGATTTCTGTTGTTCACGGTTTTCTCTGTGAGCTTTTTATTTTGTGGGATGGCTTAACAATTTGGTCACAGTGGAAGGGAATCTGTTAGTTTGCATCAGTTTTGTAATGTTCAGCATCAGAGGCTGGGGGTTTGTTATGTATTGAGCACAGCCCTATCATCTGAATATTTCTTAAATAGAGGATATGAATCCGTTACTAGAATGGGAAGCATTGCCTGGGTGTAAATCGGTGCCAGGAGGCTATGTGCACTCTATGTGGAATGCTCCTCACTGCTCACGACTGCCGCTTTGTCTACCTGTCTGTGTCTGTCCTTCCCCTGGACGAAGGCGTTGCTCGCTAGCCTTCTCCTCTAGCTGTTGGTGGGTCGTTTGCTTGCTGGATTCAAATGGCAGCCTGTCTGTATGTGATTTGGGTTGCATTAGAAAATCCAGGAGCTGGAAGCCACGCTGTATAATGCCCTGCAGCAGGATCCAGGAAGGCGGGCAAGCGAGTCGCTGACTGAAGCCCAGAGGGAGGATTTGCGAGCTGCAGTGGAGAAGGTGCGGCGGCAGATCCTGAGGCAGAGCCGCGAGTTTGACAGCCAGATCTTGCACGAGCGAATGGAGCTGCTGCAGCAGGCACAGCAGGTAATCCTGGTTCTCTCTCCTCCCTCTTGTTGGTGTTACCTCTGTGGTTGCTGCCACTGCCCGTATAACAGCATCACTTCACCCTCACCTCATTGAGTTGCTCTGAGTCTACTCCGTGTATTGCTCCCATGTCAAGTAGAGGAGTGGTGTTAGGACCCGGTTGTGCTGGGCATGGCACACTCACAAAACGAGTCACCGTCTCACTACAAGGTCCTGTTGCACAATCTGTTTCATGTGTGTACAACCACAGAGTCTTCCACAGGACTGACTCCGTGGGGAGCTTGTTGCAAGTTTAAGGCTTAAATGAGAAAAAGCTGGAATGGAAGGTTGTAAGAGTAAAACACTCATATATAAGAGGAAAGGTAAAAGCAGTAATTACAGGAAATAATTTTTCCCCTTTTATATCTTTTAGCTATTTCTGAAATCTTTTAAAATTAAAAAAAAATAGAGGAAGTCATAGCAAGTCTTTTAAGAGGTCATTTACAAGCCTTCATGCCTTTAAATTAGTTCAGAAAAGCTTTGTCTAAAGCACTTCTTTAAGGTCAAATACTGACAACCTGGCTTCAGGCAAGTTCCTGGAAAATGTGGTAATTATTTACTGGAGAGGACTGCTAGTTTTACTGTGCAAAATGTTTGGAGAAAGAAGAGTGTTACATGTCTCAGGGTGTTAATTATTCCAGCAGGAGTAATTGCTCTTAAGGATTTTAGTTCGTCTTTATAGTGACCCCTGGAAAATGCAGCCATATGTCTTAGATCTTGTGGACTGCCTTCCAGTTGCTCTCGCTGCTTTCTGTGCAAACCTGGAATCACATATTTTAAATGCCAAACTCTGCTATGAAGATGAGTTCAGGATGTTGTTGTCTCAGATGCTGGTTCTGGGGCAAGAACTGCATTTAGCCTCTCTCTGTTCAGGTTGGCTTTGTAGATGAATGTAGACCACAGCTGATGTACTGAACTGGCACTGTTGTGTTCATCTCCTGTCATCCTACAATGATTGAGAAGTGCTTATTGTGCCAGTGTCAGAACTGAGCTCTGGCTTCCTTTAAGTATTCTTTCTTCTATTCCTTCACTGCGTTCCCTTGGTTTGGAGGGTGTAACATTGAGATCAGGAGACTAGGAACAACTCTTGATTATTTTTTTTTGATGTGTGTCAGATCAGTGATGGTGTATAGAAAGCTGGAGAAGGTAGGCAACATCTGATGCTAAGAGTGTCAGAAAGAGGGAGTAAATATATGAAATTTAGTAAATAAGGATGGAGACAAAAGTTATTAGCTTATATAGTTATTATCTTATTAGAGTAGCCGAAAATTAGTGAGAATGTGGGCGTTTTTTGCCAGTCTCTTAGACAGTCCAATTTCCTAGCCAGACTGTTGATGTTTTATTCAGAACAGTAATGCAGTACTTTTCAGTTGTGTAAATATTATTTATCAATTACATTTAACAGGTGCGAATGACGTCCTGTGTTGACTACACCTAAGCAATATACAATGTCAGGTTTCTACTTCAGAGTAGATATAGTTTGGTCTTTTGCTTCCACCAGACATGTAGTTAGACGCTGTTTGAAGGACCACTATAGGCTAGAACCTTTTTGTAACCCTTGTTGGAAAGTATTTTGGGGGGACACCTGTGCAGAGTTTCTAAGTTAGGCTCATATAATATTGGCAAGTGGGAAGGAAAAATAGGAGTAGATTTGTAGAGTGAAACAATTGTTCCCAAGGACTCAAAATCCATACTATGTGTGTATCAGGGGTTTAATCTGGACTATGTCCATGGTCCCATGGACTGCTCAATATCAGACCAATTTAGGTGTAACTTTTCAGCACATCTTCAGTTTGAGTCCAATTCATGTATTCACAAGTTGATCCACAACATAAAAGTAAATATGATGAGTGTGGAAAAAAACTTCGCTCCTCCTCTGAATAAAATGCTAGCATAAACACGGCCTCATTAGCCATGGATGTTTATGTACCTGTCTCCAGATTCACTGTATACTCTGTCATTAGAGTTTTGTGTTGTGCCCATCTCATTAGACACATTAATGTTACAGCCCTGAAGGACAACAATAAACTGAATTCTGCTGCTTAATAAGGAGCTAAGTATTTCAGTCATCTATTTTTAACCCCTTGTAGTAGACAGGAAAAATGAAGGCAAAGATGGTAGCTAATCTGCCTGGTGTATGGGAGATTAACAGATTCCATTTGAAATCCTTTGCTCAGTTTCTTCTCAGTTTTCTTCTTGAAGGTTGTATTTGTGGGTCCTTATGGGACCGGTGGTCAACACTGATAACCTACTAGTTGTATGCAAATATCCACAGCTTAAAAACAAGCACACACCCCTACCGTAGATCAGTAGTGTCACAGGGCTAATTCTCATAGGATTACATTCACCTACACCAGCAGATGACAGAAAGTGAAATGATACAAAAATTAGAGCATACCTCTGTTGGAAGAGTCCTAAAGCATTGGTGAAGCTGCTCTAATCATCCCTAGGTGCCACATTAAATGAATCCCCTCTTCTTTTGCTGACATTGCTGCATTAGCAAACACCCATTGCACTTTATTCTGGCAAAATTGTGGTCTAGTCCTGGTCATGTTTTTATAGTCTGCAGTATGGTATGCACTATCCTTATTACTCTGCTGAAGTGGAGGTTATGGAGAATGATATGACAGCATGACGGACCCGCAAGACTTAATACAGAATGTCCTTGTTGCAAACACTCTCAAACTTTCCCAGAAACCGAAATCATCTATTAAAGACTCCAAATTCTCTGAAACTCTGTAATTTTGATCACTTCCATAAGGCCTGTTTCTTTTCTTCCATTACCTTCTGATCTGCCTGATACAAGGGCTTCAAAAGAACAGTTCTGCCTATCCTGGCAGACTGGCTGCAACCTTTTCTGAGTCGGAGTTTCTGTATCAGACATACAGAGTGAGAGTCCAAGAAGGGGGAGAAGGAGAAGTTGAGTTCTCTCCTTCTACATGTAAATGACCCTTGGCCACACTGCAGGATGCAGAAACAGCAAGGCATGTGATGAACACTGCAGGTAGGTCTGCAGGGTTTCATTATAAGAGAACTGCTTCATGCATGACTTTCAGGATTTAACTTGTGAGATGCTGGCTTTACAGAACAGGTAAAAGTTCTTCCTTGACAATGTACTGTCTGAAAAGGACAGAGTTTACTCAAGAGTGAGTAAACTGTTGTCCAAATGTGAGACAGCGTTTCTTTATGCGTGCGTATTTGTCCAGATATAAAGCTTTAGTTCTTAGCCACTGGGTATTGACTTTGTTCCAGGGAAATAAATGTGTTTTAGGATGTTAGGCCCTCTTACATGGGTAGGTCTGTTCATCCTGGGCATGTATAGCCCCACACTATTTTTGTTCATTAGTGTATAAATGGAACCATTCATGTATACCCATTGTGTATCAAGGAAACCAGGCCTCTGCGAAGCCAAATTAGTCAGTGTGATTAGATCTGCTTGCTAAGGCATACAACGCTTTTATTAAACCCAGAGTGCAACATGCAGCTCTGGGGGACAGATCCTCAGCTGAAGCATATCGACAATATTCACTTTAAGTCAAAGAAGGTGCTTTGATTTACACCATCCTCTCTACTTGGAGGAGGCAAAATATGTTAATTAAAAATCTGTCATGAGCAGCTTGTGATATTTGCTTCTAGCCATAGGGTATGTGCAGTTCAACTGCTCTTCCTTCATATATTGCCACCAAAAACGTTTCATTGTGCTATGCTGTTATTATAAGCTTTTGTAAATCAGTGTCTTGTTTATTTTTAGCAAGTTTCCTTTACAAGTAACATTTGTGCTCTGGTCAGTGCAGTGGCACAACTTGTGTGCATTTTGCAAAGTAAAAAGATCATTACTAGCAGGTTCTGTTAAGAAGGGTAATTTTACATATATATAAATACATATCTATATATATAAAAACATGCTAAACCATTTCAGGAGAGAGAGAAAAAGGTGTTGGTGTAGCTATAGAAACCATCTCTGAGAAAAAATATTTCAAACAGAGCAATACAATGTGTTTCTGAAGTAGTAATATCGACTTCTTAATTAAACAAACTCATACCCCCCCGCAAAACAAAACCCCAAGCATTAAAAAAAAACCCAACACAACAAATCCACACAGCATCATGGTTAGATTGCCATAAAAATATATTGTGATTGTGTTATCTGCTGAAATTAATAAATATTTAAAGGTCAAATCATGCCTTACATAAACTGAATGGGATCTAACTGGAAATATATTCCTGTTGGTTTGACTGTAGCTGCTTCTGGAGTAAGAAACTGTGGAAAGTGATCAGAACCAGGCTTTAAATTAGGATAGATCAATTCAAATTGCACTGTTGGCAATATTCAAACATGAAGAAAATTTATAATAGAAATAGAATTTATTCTGGTTTAATTTTAATTTATTTTAAATACAAAGAGAAGCTAGAAAATTCTTGAAGGACAGCAGATTGACACACATTCAGTTCCAAAATTGGTTGCTGCCAATCAGAAAGGATATGAGAGACAGATTTTATTAATATAATCCAATAATTTCCCAGAAACAGTCTTATATTTGTATAAAATTGTAAGAAAAAAGAAATAGAAAAGATGTTAGTTCATTGTATCATCAAAAACTATGAAAATTCTGAGTTGCATTGTATCATCAAAACCTATGAAACTTCTGAGTTGCATTGTAGTACTGTACTAAACCAGGGGTGTTTTATTCTAAACTGAATTAGTATATTCTTGGGTGGAGCTCAGTTTTGCAAAATAAAACAAACCATCACTTCAATTCTAGACCTGAATGTAATACATCTATGGAATGCTGAAGGCATCCAAATGCCAGCTCCAAATATTTGGAATATAGCTGGAAATATTTGAACTGAGTTTTCTTTGAACTATAGCATTTCCTCCTATGACCGGGTTGGATTATTCATTGATAATAAAAGTGGAAATTACCACTTTATTTGCACATTTTACTAGAAGGCATAGGACA